TTCAAAATGGCCGAATGGTGGTCATTTTTGTGCTAAAAAATCATCAAATATCAAGCATTTATGGGTGGATTTCGTTCAAACTTGGTACATACATTAGACATTACGAGTTCCTGATGCTCGTCATTTTATTTTTCAGATTGGATTCAAAATGGCTGACTGGCAGCCATTTTGTTTTAATGATTGGGCTTCTGGAGCCATATCTCTTAAATGCTTTGACTTATTGTATTTAAATTTTATATACTCGTTATACATCATGTTATATATATACAGGTATTCAAAATGGCTGATTTTGAATGCTGTTCCAGAGCAATATCTCTCAATATGGACAAGTACTTGTTTGACGATCAGATACAAATGTCAATCATATTCCTGACATGGTTATATTCCAGCTAAATTACTATAAACAAAACTATATATATCTTAAATTTGATAACTAACAGGGACTGTGCCATGCATGGCTTGTTATTATTATGAGACAGGTGACCACAGGTCTGTCCAGGTCTGTCCATAAATTAGCATTAGAAATACCATGAGTGTATGTGGCTTTACAGACAAGAGTCAAGAGAATTACACTCCGGTAAGCACCTTCGCGCTATTAACTCAAAATTCTGTACCACAGATAAATTTTGACAAAAGTGGATAAACTAGTGCCGAGATGGGAATACTTCACATTCAAGTATATTGAGATACACACAAGTAATTTAAACAAGTTATTTATATATTTTATTAATGTATGTGTACAAGGGAAAGTAATAAAATCATTCACATAGCCCTGCTGCACACTGAAAATGAACAAAAAAACACATTAGGAATGCAAACATTGGTGGTAAAATTATGCAATATTTTCATACAAACACACTTGACCCCCCCCCCAAAAAAAAGAAAAAACTGCAATTGTTGACCAAAAAATTTCAAATGAATTCAATTAACACTTTTAGTGGTTTCAAATAGAAGCCTACTCATAAATGAAAATACTTGGAATTTATTCATTTTGCAATAAATGATACTCCAAGGCAATATAATGATATTGACTTAAAAATAGTTGGGGATCACTATCCTTATTTTTGAGAAAATAATGGTTGTATTTCAGTTGCCATTTTGGCAGTATTTATAATGCTTTTACCATTGGTTTCTATGCAAAGATGATATGCCATATCTAAAACTGTAGGCTGGTGACATGGCTGAAAAAATAATATATTGTTAATGATGGGGTACTTTTTGTTATGAACTACATGTATTTTAACAAGCAGCCTATCGGCTGAGATAGCTCCGCTGTTAGCAATGCACATTTCAATTAAAGAACTGAAGACATCATTAGAAAATGAACGATATGTATAGTATCAAAGCAATCGGACTTACAGTTTTTAATAAGAAGTCGAAAATATCACTTTCTACCAAACATGACAAAAATATTCACCAACATTAGAGAATTGAAGATATCATCACGAAATGAACAAATCTGAGAGAGGTCCACATGTAGTACCTATATATGTAATATCAAAGCAATTGCACTATTGGTTTTTAACAAGAAGTCGTAAATATCACTTTTTACCAAAAATGACAAAAATATTCACCAAAATTAGAGAATTAAAGATATCATGACAAAATGAACAAATCTGAGAGAGGTCCACATGTAGTACCTATATATGTAATATCAAAGCAATTGCGGTTTTTAACAAGAAGTCGAAAATATCACTTTTTACCAAAAATGACAAAAATATTCACCAAAATTAGAGAATTGAAGATATCAACATGAAATGAACAAACCTCAGAGAGGTCTACCCAAGGTACATATACACCAAGTATCAAAGCATTCAGGCTTGTAGTTTTCAAGAAGAAGTCGAAAAAGTAAAACATTGACACGGACAACGACGGACGGACAATCACTCATATGATAAGCTCCGCTCGACAAAGTCGACAACGGAGCTAAAAATCTGGGTTTAAAAAGTGTCAAAAAATGCAATTTTTCTTTAACAAGAATCATTTTTTCAACTTTTTTTTAAAACTAATTATTTTTGCAAAATATTAGGACAAGTTGCTCAAAATACGTAACTGTAAGACATAAAATAATGCTATATCATCATGTCATAGGACAATAGCTCCAACATTGTACATATCATAAACCAATGAACATTGTCATGTGACTTATGACAAAAATTACGAGTAGGCTTCTACCTTATATGAAACAAGGCAGGTTCTTAAACAATTTCCTTAATCTTTCATACTTCACTAAATCCAGGCACATATCATCTCATACAAATCTTATTATTTCCCCCTTTATCCTCGGGGCGGAGCTATATCACATCACGTTCCACGTTGCTAAGACGCGCACCACTGTACCACGTATTTTTATGGGCTCTCCGCGCTGCTGATGAACGAGGAACGCCGGGCTGGTGAAAATCTGAGACTCAACTTTGAAGTAATCCTGAACAATCAAATTAATATGCATTACGCACACAGGATTAATCTTGTTACACTGTTCAGGGGAGTCTCTACAACCATCCCAAAGTACCATTTCTGAAAGTTTTCAGCCCTTGTTTTCACTGTGATGGTTGCCATGCGATGAAAATGACCGGATGTCCGCCCAAGGATAACACATACATATATTGGAGTTAATAAATTAGCAGTTTCAGAGAGTTCATGATGGACATTGCTATCAGCTCTAATAGAAGGCCTAAAGCTGCATTTCTTTAACATTGTTTAATCTATATAATACAATGTGACATTTGTGATACCCAATGAACATACAATGTATGATATGAGACAGTACTTGGACAACTGACCAACATAAATATAGGTCAAGTTGCATGACATATCACTATTCATCAAGTATCACAAAGGTATTTTTGACAAAACATAACTCTGGCCTCATTTAAGCTTTTGGTTCACTGTGCTAAAACTTGAAAAAATAATTTTATTGAACTAAAAATCTCTTATTGGTAATATGATATAAGCAACAAAACTTTTTAAAATATTTGAGAAAAAATAAAACATTTTGTACACTTTTAAAAGAGTTAATAAACATTATATATATATATATATATATTATACTACGTCACAGTGTCAAATATCCATGTCTCACTTATTTATATTTCCAAGTTATCTATAGGAGAGGAGAAAGCAATAAACCAATGATTGTAATATAAAAACTTTATATAAAGGAGTACATCACTTTATAAATGGCTTCTAACACAATGATTGAGGTGCCCCAGTTGAGTTTTGCTGATATTATGTCAATCTCACTATAGCTATAGCATCACAGATCAGTGTTTTATTATCAGTGTAAAAACTGACATATAATTGAGAACATTTCACGGGAATACATGCATCTGCAGCTACAATTCAAACTATAAAATTACAGTAAGCAAATAACACCGAATAAACGGCAAGGTAAAGACTATGTCTAATTATAGTAAATACGTACTGCGTGCGTGACTCGAACCGGCGCTCGCGTACGGCACCTAATCGCCTAGCTTCACGCCACTACACGTCTTCCCCTCGGCCACCGGGCATCCCCAAAAAAGGATGCTTAATAACCGAGCTTATTACGTGCAGAGAACATGAAACCCGTCCACGCGATACCGCGCCACACAGCAGGCCAGAATGCGGCAAAGGCCTTCAGATCTGGCTGTAGT